GTATTCTCTTAGCTACTTTCTGCTGAAAAGGGACACTGTAGGTTTCAGGGTGAAGATCTTCTGTCACTACTCTAAAGGGCCCCTTTCGCAGTAGGAAACACATAGACTATTATGGAGATTGATTTTGGAATTTAGGTGCAGTTATCAATTGTGCTTTGATAAACTTTTAAAATAAGGAAACCCATGTTCTTTTTGAGAAATATTCACATTATTTCGGTGATGATTTTTTATTCTCTATTTTCTGTTTTCTTTCTGGAATTCTTTTAGAATGTTGTTACTGTGTGCCATTGAGTTGTAACTGGTTTGTAGGTGAGGAAGCCTAAAACAGATTTCTTTTTATATTATTTTCTAATTCCTTGCATAATATTTTTTTATGCTTTTTTTGTAGGTATTTACTCAATTTACCAGGGGTGTGTTTTATTTTGATCTTTAACTTTTTTTATAATATTTTAAAATTTTTTTGGAAGAAAGTTTATAGATCATGTTGATTTATATACTTATTTTTGGCTCATCAGCCCTTATTGTAAACTGCCTATTCTCTTCACTCAGCTTATTCCCTTCTTCCTCCTTTCCTGGCACTAGTAACCCTTCAAAGTTGGGTCTGTCAGTGTGTAAGCATTTCCTTAAATTTTTATATTAGTGGTCTTGTATCATACATAATTGACCTTTTATAACTGATGAAAGGTCACCTGTAAGTCAGAGAAAGACAGGAAAATCATCAACAAGATGAACTCATAACAGTGACTGTAACAATGGCCTGAAGTGTATACAACATGGTGAGGGTGGCACAGGATAGGTCAGAGTTCTTCTCTGTAGTTGATAGTTTTTTTCTGAGTCACAGTTGATGATGGATAATGTAATACTCCATTGAGAGTGGGAATGTACCACAGTTTTTTAGACATTAGTCCATTGATGAACATTTGGGTTGTTTCCAACTCTTTGCTGTTGCAAATAATGTAGCAATAAACAAGAGTATGAATGTTAGCTTGAGTTTAAGCTTGTACATGTCTAAGATACATACTTAGGAGTGAAATTATTGGAGGAATGATATTTAGATAGTTCTAGTGTCTGCACATCCTCACCAGCATTTGTTGTTTGCTCTCTTATTGAACAATGTTAATATCTTTCGAACACTTTGACAAGCACTGTGGCAATTGGACAATTAAAACAGACATTCGGATGGCGGGGAAGAAGAACAAACTGGGGAGGAGGGTAGAGAAAATGGTGCAGTAATGAAGGAATGAAAACCCAAAATCCCTGTAAATGTTCATTAAAACTAATAAAATTTAATAAAAAAAAAACACCAAAACAAAACAAAACAAAAGCTGTATTGGGAAAGTCTGCAGCTAGGAAATTCTCTGGAGTACCGAAGAGCAGTGATGTTGTATAGAAGCTAAAGTTTACCTGATCCAAACCATAGTCTTTTTAATTTACTTGCTTTGTTTCTGAGAGTTTGACAGTGAATAAAGATGAACATGAAGAATTGATGCCTCTGTGTTGTGATAATTAAAGAAGAGTACTAAATATTCCATGCACTCCCAAAAGAATAAATATGTCTAGGAAAAGATGCAGCCGAAATACTTCTTAGAGGATTGGATGGTAAAACTTCGTCTCATATACTTTGGGCATGTTAGTAGAAACTAGTCTTTGGAAAAGGACATCCTGTTGGAAAAAGTGGTCAGCAAAGAAGGGAAGACCCTCAGTGAAATGGTTTGGTAGTGACTGTAATAATGGGCTCAAGTGTGGCAGAGCTGATGAGAGTGGCGCAAGATGGGGCAGGGTACAGATCTGTCATTTCATAAGGTTTCTATGAGTCATAGTCAATTTGATAGCACTTAACAACAACAATGACAACAACAGGTATGAGTAGATCTGATAATAATGGCATTTATCTTTGAGTCACCTGGCTTGTCTCTTTCCTTATGGAATCCCTGCTGTCAGAATCTCGGTCTTTTTCTTTGGACTAGTCAGATTTGACAGAGAAGCTGCAGATTTCTTGCCTGCTGAGGGCAAACATGGATGCTAGTGTTGGGAGTAGAGAACTGGGAATCTTAAAAACTTTATTATGTAGTTGGACTTTGAATTAGTTACCGTTTTTAGTGCAGTATCACTTTGCTCCATGCTTTGAGTTCCCCTAATTCAGAGATACTCTGCTTTCCACTAATAAATAAGTTTCTATCTAGCCTCTTGTCTTTGGTCACTTGGCTCTTTCCTTGTTGACTTTTAGTCTTAGTTCTGGAAGTATCTACTAATAATAAGATTTCTGTGGATACTTCTCAGCTTTCCTAGTTACTTGTCTGGTATTTTTTCTCAGTTTTAAAACTATCCATGTGCTGCTAATTTAATAGCAGGCAGTTTAAATGTAGCAGCTGCTACACAGAAGAAAAATGGGCCATCTCCTCCCATATTTTTTACAGCCTCTGAAAACCTGCTGGTGGGTCAGCTCTGAGTTGGTTCCAGCTCCATGGGATATAACAACAAACTGTTTATCAGATTTCTCACTTTTTCCTCCCCTCCTATCTGGGCTGTTTATTTATTGTGGTTTTCATACCTTTAAAAAAGGAACAGAGGTAACTTGTGTTTAATTTGGCATTTGTAAGTGGAATTTGCCTTTATTAGGCACTTCATTCATTCATTCATTCATTCATTCAGCAAATATTGGAGTGCTTATGCTATGGCTGGTTTCAGCAGGACAGCTATGAACAAAACAAATCCTTGTTCTTTTTAACTTCATTTAGTGGAAACAGCTAACACAACTAAGTAAAATATGCATTGTGCCAAAGGGTGTTTGATGCTTCAGGGTAAAGAGAATGAGATTTCGTTTCTGATTGCCTCTCAATATGTTTGACATTTAATATTTTTTTTTTTACTTTGAAATAGTTAATACTATTTGGGTTTTTTTTCTGTTTTAATATTTGCCTCTTTCTGCATGATTCGTCAGAGTTATGTTGTATTTGGGATGGCTTTCTGTTACATATTTTGGAAACTTTTTCCCCCTTTATTTTTAACTTATTTGTGATCTATTTTCTTTTGTAAATGTTTTAACTTTTTTATTTAGCCAGACTACTACTATTATCTTTTGATTGAGCTTTATTACTCTGTTTTAAAATTGAAAAGGTAACAAAACCACATATAAATCTCTTTTTTGTACCTTTTAACTAGTTTCGATTGCTAGTAAGAGAATATGCAACCAATAGTAACTTTAAGAAATAAATCCATTAGCCATTTTCCTCAAATACCTAAAAGTTTGGAAGTTGGAAACTATTTGCAATGGCTTTCTTGCCTTTTCTCCTGTGAAAATAAGATATTTTTAGGCATCATAGCTGTATTCACAGCAGGTTAAGGAGGGAGGAATAAGAATCTCTTTAGAAAACCAGAAGCATTTCTAGAATTCACACAGCTGACTGCTGCTTTTGTTTCTTTGTTAACCCTGACTGCTTTGGTGGCCTAGTAGTAGTGATAAGGTATTGCTCTTGCAACCTGAAGTATTTGAATTCACCATCTACTCTGTGCAGAAAGACTTAACAGTCTTCTGTGCATTTAATGGCCTCTGAAAACCCACTGGAGGGTCAGCTATGGTCAGTTTTGATTCCATGGTAAACAGCAACAGCTGCAAGGGAGGCTAGACAGGGTTTCTTGCCTTTGTGATAAAGATGGCAAAAGAGAATAGAAGAAATAGCTTGTTTTTTCACCAGCAATATCTGCTACATCTGCAAACGTAATTTATATAGACGCTGAGATGATATTATGGATTGTATTTAAAACCTACTTGTACTCAATAAATGTTTTGTGTTGTAATTATTTTAGGACTCCAGTTCAGTTGTCGAATGGACCCAGGCACCAAAAGAAAAAGCTCGAGGATTGGAACATTTGAACAGTTACGAAGCAGAGTGGGACATGGTTAATGCCGTTTCATTTAAAAAGAAACGACATACCAGTGGAGGTAGGGATGAAATATTTTGAAATTTTAAATGATTTGCTATATTATACTAATTAATAAAAATGCAAAGAAAATTTTTTAATATTCTTCAGTGAGAGGAAGAAATATTTTTTGTTAATACACAGTGACTGAGTGTGGCAGTGGGGTCGACTGTGTTAGACATTGTGAGGATGGCACAGGGTTCACATCTATTGTTCATAGGGTTGCTACGAGTTGTTCTTGACGGTGATGGTACCAAACAACAACAATCACCACCATGTTTTTAGTTATTTTTTTATATTGTTTTTTCTTTTCTGTAATTGTTTACTATAACTCAGGAAAAAAAAGGCTTTAAAAATACTGTTCTGTTTTGTAATACTGACTTGATGGCACCTAATAAGATAGTAGAATATAGAAGCATATCAAACAGTGAACCATATTAAACAGCGTTTTATTGCCTTTGTTGTATATGTTTCTTTCATCAACAATATAATTTGTTTTTAAAAATCATGTTATTTCATCATAAAGCTCCAGGGGGAGATGGAGTATACAAATAAATCAGATGGTTCTAGTTTCAGTTTTTATTTCACTGCTCATTATCGTTTCCCTTTTATATATTTACTGACTATGTCTGTCCCCGCATTTATTTATTTAAATCCATATTTATTATGTGGTGATAGTTTACATGTAATTAACAAAAAAGTCTAGCTTGATGTTACTGTGTCTTCTAGTTCATGTAAAAGATGTAGTTTCCTGTGCCATTCAGATCCACTTTGATGGTATACCTACAAAAAATAACAAAAAAAATATGTAGTTTGTATGTCATGTTTGCCCCTATGTGCATTATCATTATCTATCTGGGTAGCTTTTCTAACATGGACACCTTATTTATGATTTGTTTTAAAAATAATGAATACTTGTATAGAGTTAAAAATCTTTTTTATTATTAATTTTTAAAATGGATTCCTTTGTGTTGTAAAGCTGAAAGGATATCTTGTCTCAATGTTTCTGGTTTAGTTTTAGTATTTATTTATGTTTTACCAAATTGAAAGGTCTAGTCATAATTTACTGGCACTTGTGTTGCTGCCATTTATACACAGCATTGTTTTTTAATGAAATAAAAAAAGATTTTTTATGTGACCTGTGCTATCAGTTAATATATGGTACTGAATGTACCATGGACTGCCAGGAAAACAAACAGATTCATCTTGGAGAGGATTAAACCAAGCTACTCCTTGGAGGCAGGGATTCTGGGGCTTCGTCTGACATACTTTGGACATGTTGCCAGGAGGGATGGGTCCTTGGAGAGGGACATCATGCTTGGGAGGGTGGGGGGACGGCGCAGGAGGGGAAGACCCTCTATGAGATGGATTGATTCGGTGACTGGGGTAATCGGGATGGGTGTGTCAGAGGCGGTGCGGTTGGCGCAGGATAGAGCAGGGTTTAGGGCTGTTGTGCATAGGGTTGCTATGAGTTGCAAATGACTCGACGGCACATAACAACAACAACAGCAACAAGTTATACTTTTGCGCTTCGCATTTCTGTGAAAAAGAGACAATTAAGAAATAAAAATTCACAAACTTCAGTTAATCAGCTCATTCATAGGTAATTATCTTCCTCCTCACCCCCTTTTTGCATAATCTTTCTATTGAGGGGAAAAATTCTTAATAGAACATTGCCAAATGCCAAAAAAAATCAAATCATGGTAATTTAGTGTGTGAGATGACTTTTTTTTTTTAACTTCTGTGGGCTAAATCAGGAGAGCTGTATTAGCGTGGTCTGTAAAGAATCACACTGCTAATCCAAAGCTGTGCTACTTTGTCATTTCAAATCCAGCAGCCCCTCCAAGGGAGAAAGATGGACAGTCTCCTTTCACATGGTTTACAGTCTTGGAAACCTTCTTGAGGGTCAGCTATGAATTGGAACTGACTTAACAGCAGTGAGAGAAGGAGAAGAGTAGATTAAGGACCTCTGGCGGGAGGCATGGTGTGTTACCTGTTGTAGTCCAAACCAAAAAGTGGTTGAAATCTGCCAATTGCTGTGTGGGAGAAAGATGGGCATTTTCCTCTCATAAAGATTTATGGCCTTGGAAGCCCAACCAAGCATTATTGTGAGCCAGAATCAACGTGATGTAGGTGATATCAAGGTTTAGATTAAAACTTCTGAATTTGTCTATGTGAATTGTTTTTCTTTTGTTGTTGTTGTTGTTGTTATGTGCCATCGAGTCATTTCCGACTCATAGCGACCCTATGCACAACAGCTCTAAACCCTGCTCTATCCTGCGCCAACCGCACCGCCTCTGACACACCCATCCCGATTACCCCAGTCACCGAATCAATCCATCTCATAGAGGGTCTTCCCCTCCTGTGCCGTCCCTCCACCCTCCCAAGCATGATGTCCCTCTCCAAGGACCCGTCCCTCCTGGCAACATGTCCAAAGTATGTCAGACGAAGCCCCAGAATCCTTGACTCCAAGGAGCAGCTTGGTTTAATCCTCTCCAAGATGGATCTGTTTGTTTTCCTGGCAGTCCAGGGTACATTCAGTACCCTTCTCCAGCACCACAGCTCAAAAGCATCCACTCTCCTTCTGTCCTCCCTAGTCATTGTCCAACTCTCTGATGCATAACAAGCGATTGCAAATACCATGACCTGTATCAGGCGCACCTTAGTCTCCAGAGAGACACTGTTGCTCCTGAGTACCTTTGAGAGGTCCCTAACGGCAGACTTTCCCATCGCGATACGCTTTTTGATTTCCTGACTGCTGGTACCAAGAGTGTTAACTGTGGAGCCGAGCAAAGTGAAGCTGTGAACACTCGCAATCTCTTCATCATCCATCTTGACGCTGCCAATTGGTCCAGTGGCGAGAATCTTTGTCTTCTTGACGTTGAGCCTTAGTCCATACTGAAGGCTGCAGTCCTTGACCCTTCGCAGCAAGTACATGAGGTCCTCCTCAGTTTCAGCAAGCAAGGTTGTGTCATCTGCATAACGGAGATTGTTGATAGATCTTCCACCAATCCTGATGCCACAATTCTCCTCATAGAGTCCAGCCTCTCGGATAATCTGCTCTGCATACATGTTGAAAAGGTATGGAGACAGGATGCATCCCTGGCGTACACCCTTCCCTATTTTGAACCATGCAGTGTTACCCTGCTCTGTTCTGACTACTGCCTCTTGGTCCAAGTATAGGTTTCGTATTAGCACAATTAAATGTTCTGGGATTCCCATTCTTCTCAGAGTCAGCCACAGTTTGTTTTGATCCACACAGTCAAATGCCTTTGCATAATCAATGAAACACAGATAGACATTCTTCTGGTATTCCCTGCTTTCAGCCAAGATCCATCTAACATCAGCAACGATATCCCTAGTACCACGACCCCTTCTAAACCCAGCCTGGACTTCCGGCAGTTCTCTGCTGATGTGCTGTTCTAATCGTTTTTGGATGATCTTCAGCAGAATCTTGCTTGCATGTGAAATTAATGACACTGTTCTGTAGTTTCCACACTCAGTTGGGTCACCTTTCTTTGGAATGGGAACAAATATAGATCTCTTCCAGTCAGTTGGCCAAGTGGTTGTTCTCCAGATTTCTTGGCACAACTTGGTGAGCACGTCCAGGGCAACATCTGTTATCTGAAATACTTCAATTGGTATATTGCCTAATATTGTTAAGGAAGATGTGGTGATCTAGAGGATAAGGATTTGTGCTGTCAGCTGAAAGGCAGGTGGTTCAAATTCACCAGCTACTTCATGGAGAAAGCTGGGGATTCCCCTTTCGTGTGATTTTTTTTTTTTTTAAAGCCTCTGAAAATCTGCTAGAGGGTCAGCCGTAAGTTGGTTCCGATTTGGAAGCAATGAGAGAGTGAATATTGTTAAATTTTTTTAAATGAAAGATGACAGGTTATAGTAACAAGCACAATAAATGAATTTTTAGATTTTATATAAGCAGCTTTACTTACATGTGAGAAGCATAATCAGACAGTGAAGATCTGTGTAAAATCAGTTGTTCTTAACTTTGGCAGCAAATTGAAATCACCTGGTGAGACTTTAAAAAGTGATGTGAGCTTGAGTTTATTTTGGCCAGTGAAACCAGACCCTGGACATCTGTATTTTTCTAAAGCTCTCCAGGTAATTTGAGTGTGCACTAAAAGAATCTCTGTTTAGCTTTGTAATTTAACGAAAACCTAGGTGTAAATACTTCTTGTTTTCTGTTCAGCGTGAGTTATGAATGGGGAGTCTTTCCTTTCTAATTATTAAAAATAAAAGAGACATTTTCTGAATTAGTATTTTTTCTCACAATTACCTTTACAGGTGCCTTGGTGGCACTTGGCTAGTAACGGAAAGGTCAGCAGTTCGAATCCACCAGCTGTTCTATGTTTGATCAATATGACTCTGTTAAGATTACAAAACCGAAACTCATTATCTTTTAGTGGATTCAGACTCATACCAACCCTCGACCCTCTCTCTGGTTTCTGAGGCTATAAATCTTTATGAGAGGAGATCACTCATCTTTTTCCCTTGGAGCATCTGGATTCAAACTTTACAATTAGGAGCCAGCTATGTTATACATTACCCCATCAGGCTCTCTCTGTTAGGACTATTGTTATTAGGTGCCATCAAGTTGGTTCTGACCCAAAGCAATTCTTTGTACAATAAGATGAAATCCTGCTTGGTCTTGTGCTGTCCTCACAATCTGGCTTGTCCTCACAATTGTTGCAGTCCCTGTATCTGTCATTCTGTCTTGAGCTCTATCTTGACAGTCTTTCAGCCTTGGAATTTCTATGGACATTCTACTGAGTTGAACTTAATAGCAAGTTTGTGGGTCTTCCCCTTTTGTATTTTTAATAACTTCCATATTTTTTTACTGAAGTGTTTTTGTTAGTGATGAGGCATAAAGGAAACTTTGGATGAATCCTCAAACAGTTGTCAGTTGGAGATTTATTTAACTTTATAAGACCACTTAACTTTGTATATAACAGGTGTTTCTCCTGATAAATCCTATGTTTTTAGGTACCAGATAAAATATTTTGAAAATATCTCAAACGTTTGCATGTGGATGTCTGAACAGACCACCATCTTGCCATCATGATGTAGAACACAGCCAAATAAAATGCCATGTTCTTGATTTTAATTCTATACAAGGCATACAGTTTTGCATACTGTTCTGTTGTTCTCCTTCTGTCCAATTTTCCTGTCAGTGTGTTACAGATGCTTTTTGTATCTATTTGATGGCATAGAAAGTTCTTTAATACTTGTTTCTCTATAAGATAGAAGGTCTATTTGAGTTAACTCGGAATCTGTTTGATTTCCTGTTTAACTATTTATACTCTGGTTAGCTATTGGTAGCGGGTGAATGGCAAATTATTTTTTTATTGATTTACTACCATGGTATTTCTTTATTTAGGATGTCTTTTAGTCTTTATGCTAGGCATTCTTCTAGGTACAGGGATATGTGAACAAATTAAAATTCTTGTTTCATGAAGCTCACATTCTTTTGTAGAATTTTTTAAATATTTCTCATTGTTTATCAGTTTTAAGTTGAAATGTGTGAGACATTTTCTTTGTATTTAAACTACAGTTTTCTTATAGTGAGGGGAAATTTATTTAAAGTCTTCAATCTTGATTTTTCACAAATTCCTGATAACTCATATATTTGTATGTGCTATTTAATATTTCCCATTTGATATTATTTTGCTTATTTTGGCTTTAGTACCTTGAGCTATTAGAGATTTAAGTTAAAATGATCTAGATTCAGTTTTACTTTGCTGTTTATTATTTCTAGGCATTTCAAGCTAAGCCACACTTATATGATTTGTTGGGAAGTTGTAACTTAAATTGTTCTCATTTTGCTATCACCCTGTTAGTAGTGTTAAAAGTTCTGTAATAAGTAATATTAATACCAGTGAAATACAATTTAGAATAGATAAATGGTCGTTTAACACTTAGAACTAGTATACCAGCCTTAGATCTGAGTTCACCATTTGGAATAGTATAGAAGTTAGGCAGGTCAGTATATATTTTCATTTTTCTGAACTTTCTTTCAAATGATAGTGTTGAACTGCTTATGAAATAGTGACAGTGCTTGTATATTCTTTATATGTGGAGAATTGTGTATGCTGTAAATCTTAGTGTACCATTTTAGATCTTGTTGGAAATGATGGAATTTTTGTGTTTCTGATAAAAAGGAATGTTACATAAATGAATGTCATTGTCAGTTTGTCTTTTGATCAAGCCCTGTCTAGTTGATATTTGTAGAAATGAAAACCTGTGGACAGGATTAGTGGATATCTTGAATAATGAGAGAGTATGGCACATCATATGAATAACATTGGAGAAAAGATTTTTTAAAATTTTGAAGACTTCATATGTTTATTATTTTGAGTTAAATATTAAAATAACTAATATTTTAGATTAGAAATTAATTTTACTGTCATTAGTGAGTGCTAAAACATTTTTCCTTTACATAAGTAGTCTTTAAGTTGCTTGTTATAATATTCATGAACTTGAATTTTAAACTTAAATGAATAGTATGCAATCACAGAAGGTGCCTTATTTTACATAGCTATTCTTTGATTTGAACAGAGGCTTTTATTTAGTAGAAGGTTGATTTAGAATAAAGTTTGGGTGTATCTCTTCTGTTTTGAAGCAAAACTTAGTTGTCTTTTCATGCTCAACTCTTTGTTATATTTGTGGACATAAGATACTCATGTTATTTTTTAAATCTGTGTGCTTTTCTTCATTCTTTTGTAGTCTAATAAAAATAATTGTAAAAGGAGGAAGAGAAACAGCTTTATAAATTAATTATTTCAAGAGAGGGCATCATGTCTTTGTTATTTCTGGTAAATGAGATGGGCTAACATTTATTGAGGATTTACTATATTCTGCTGTAATACTAGGGACTCTGATGGTCCATTTAAAATACTTGCCTGCTGACTGCAAGGTTGGCAATTGAATGCACTGTCTACTCCATGGGAGAAAGATGTGACAGTTCTTTCATATATAGCTATAGCTTTGAGGATCTTATGAGGCATTCTACTCTGTCTTACAGGGCTGGTTGGTTATGAGTTGGGATTGACTTGAAGGCAATAAATATGGGATTTTTTGGGTGCGGCCCTGGTTCATTGGCAAATATTATTTGATTCTTAGAATCACATTGGGAAGTAAGTATAATTACTTCGGTTTACAGATGAAGAAACTGAAGCTCAGAGGAATTAAAAATTTTTGTCCCAAATTATTCAGTAAGATGGTAGTATTGCAGTTAAAATCAATCCAGCTTGCCTCCCAAGACTGGTGACTTTTCGAGAAACTTGATATTCTAAGTAGGTATAGTGTTTTTTGAATTTGAGGCTAACACCCCCCCCTTTATAAATAATTATTCTTTTCAGAAAGTATAAATTGTCATTTATAGTACAGGTAGAGGCCATAGTAGTATGACTGTTACTGTGATTTCCTTGGTTCAACAAGTTGGGTTTTTTTAGACAGTCATAAAGAGTGCTGTCATTACCTTTTTAAAAAGGTGAACAAAATATTTTGCCCCACTTTCTTGTTTTTAAGATGCTCCAAGTCATAGAAATGGGAAAAGCCAGTGGTCATTCCTGTTCAGTTTGACAGACCTGAAATCAATCAAGCAAAACAAAGAGGGTATGGGCTGGTCGTATTTGATATTCTGTCTAAAGGATGACGTCGTTCTCCCTGCTCTGCACTTTCATCAAGGAGATAGCAAACTGCTGATTGACTCTCTTGAAAAATATGTGGTATTGTGTGAGTAAGTATCAAATCATTTTCTACTTATTGAAGCTAGATTGTTATATTAATCCTAGGGCTGAATGAAACTGCCATTTTAGTATATTGTACCTGAGACTGACTACAGTATAAAAACAAAAGAGCTGTCCATTTTTACATACAGTTAAATGGTTGAAGATGTATTATTGATTTATGGATTATACATTGACCTGATTTACTTTTTTAAATTTTTTTTTTTTGTTAAAAAGAGAGTTTCATTTATAGTGTTTCAAAGTTAAGCCAAGTCTATAAGATTATTTATAAGAAGACTTCTCACTGTATGTGCATATGCACATATACAGTGCGCACACTCTCTTAGTTTGACTTTTGATAAATATTTTTTAATATCTGTTGCATATTAAGCACTGTGCCAGTTACTTGATGTTTAGTGGTGAATAACACTGAAATGTTCATAGATTTCTGAAAATTTATGATCTTCTAAAGGGTGCTGAAGAGTAAATGGCAGTTATGTGCCGCTGAGTTGAGAAAATACGATGGAGGGAGTAGACAGTACTTTGGAATTGCCATAGAACGGAACTAAGTGCACAGTAAGGATAAGCTAGAAATTAGGGAAGACTTGGTAGAGAAAATGACATCTAAGTTGAGACCTTGCATATGAGTGAGCATTAAGAGAGAAAGGCAGGAGACATTTAGAGAAAGCATTTTTTGGGGAGCAGGAAGAGTGAAACATGATTTAATCAAGAACAAAATAATTTATTATCATAGAAGGTACTCAGATTTAAAATGAGGCTAAATTTGAGTGAAGATCAGAGCATTAGAGATCTTGTAAGCCCATATTAGCAAGCGTTCCTAGTCATCGAGATGACGATACAGTGGCATTAAAAAGGGAATAGACACAAGCAGATAAATTCGCCAGGATATTTAGATAAAGCCATATTTTGTGATTAATTGGCTGTGTGAAAGTAAGAAAGAGGGAGAAGTTTTTGCCTTTGGGAACAGTGAGGATCTTCATTAACTACAGTCAGAAGGTCTTCATTTACTAGTACCAGAAATTGGAAGATTTTACTCATCTTAAGTTCTGTGTTTTCTAACATGATGTTCTCACCCCTGCTGCATTACCACCTCTGGTTGTCACGTGTGCTCATTAGTACCAGTAACTTGTAAGAAAGCTAGTCCTTGCGAGCTCTGGTGGCCTAGTGGCAAGAAACTACACTGCAATCCCAGAGGTGTGTGGTTCAAATCCACCAGATGCTTTGCTGGAGAAGGAGGAACAATCTCCTCCTGTACCAGTCAGATCTGATTTGACGGTACACACACAAATGATAAACATAAAAAAAAAAAGAAAGCTAGTTCTGGCTGATAATATATTGATCTTGGACCTTGAAACCAGAAGCTTAAATAGGCTACCACACAAAAGGGATTTTAGGAGGGACATGACTGGGGCAGAAGTTTATAGCTGGTGAGTAACAGGCATTAAAGACCCAGAAGTGTTGTCCTATAAGCAAGTTAGACCATGTCTTGGTAGAACTAATAGACATGCAAAAAAGCGCTTTGATGATTAAAGCATAGTTTCTATGATGAACTCTCAGTGCAATATTAAATAAAATCAAAACTTCTCACAGTGGTCAAATTCTTAGCTGTTACATGTCTTGATTCTTTAACTTTTAAACTTTGTATTATATCATTCTTACCCTTTCTAGCTACATAGTTTTGTTTTAGTTCTTGAAATGCCTTAATTTTTTGACAAATGGTAGGAAGACAGTGCTAATGAAAAAGGAACTGGCCCGTCGTAGAGTTTGTAACATTGTGGGAGATACAAATATAATTAACACATAAATAAATGTAAAAGTTCATCTGTGATAAATTTCATGATTACGATATGTAAAACACTTAAGAGCTTATAATATGTTAATATGCCAGTGTGTGAGTATTAAATTGAAACTCTGGGCAAGTTTGAAAGATCTGAGCATAAGTGATTAATTACAGCCTTTAGCGACTCAGTTAAAGAGAAAATCAGCAGAGGAGGATAGCCTCCCTACATTTTATTCTTTTTAGTCTTTATTATTGAACAGGGACATGGTGGTTTCTTCTTGGAACAGCAAATGGCTGTCAAAAATGAGTTTTATAAGATTACTCCCTTAATACAAATCATTTTTCCATTGTATGTTCTCCTGTGACCCTCGGAGAGAAAGGAAGGAATTGCTTTTTTACTTCCATAAGGGTCTGAAATATAGAACAAAACAGTACATCAACTATTTTAGCTCCAACGCCCTTTTGTACTTGGGCTGAAATGGGTACTCTTCATTCTCTTTCCCATTACAAATCATGTTACATTACATTATACCATATAGCTCATCAGAGATTAATGAATCCAAATAGAAAGGTGCTCCAAAAAAGTTACCAATATTAAAAGCGTCCCAGATTTGTATATGCCATCACATTGACAAATTCTTAAGGATAAATTAAAGGACTGTGTTCTTGTTAATTAGGCTTCAAGTAAATGGAATTTCCAGTTTTAAGTTAAAGTTAAGAAAATGTTCTCAGAAAACGTCAGTTGTTTTTCCTTCTACAAGCCAACATAACAACACCACCAACACCTGTATTGGTTGTTTTAATTTAAGGTTCTTGTTTAGAGTCATCAAGACCTCATGGAGGGCCATTATATTTAAAAGTCGTTTATTATACTGCACTCTTCTGTCAGTTTGCTGTACTGAGGTAACCTAGAGTTTCTGTGATGCTGAACCTTGTGCCACTGGGGTGTCAAATACCGCAACTGTTACCCACGGTGGACAGTGTTCGGTAGAGCTTCCAGTTTAAGATAGGATTGGAAGCAGGAGTGGCATCCATGTCCTAGACAACAGACCTCTGGAAACTATGAACTTTGAGCAACAACGATTGTTAATAGAAAGGCTTCAAGGTCTTTTGTTCATAGGGTCTCTAGGAGTTGTTCTCCTCTTGATGGCAGTCAACAACAACGACAACAGCTAGCCAGTAGTTTTGGGATTTCATTTACTGTCACCTAGAACAGCTAGTCTGAGCAAAATGATGTTTTCTGATTCATATATATTTTTAAAATCAATGATTAGTGTGGAGACCAGAGGAAGAATACAAGAAAAATCTTGGTTTCATCTTCAGTAGGATGTCAACGTCATCCTCATCATTTTCTGAGTTTAAAACCATTTTAAGAAATGCAGGAATTAGACTGGCCATGATCTTTATTTTTTCTGATTAAGCTAAATTGAAAATTTTGACTTGCATCTCTGGCCATGTTGTCTTTCTAATACTCTACCTACTGAATTAGGTTTTCCTTCCCTGCGGAGCAGGTTTCCCTTTTTCAAGACCCGAGCCGCCTCCTCACCCTGCTCATAGGTATGCAGGTTTGCTGGAGTTTGGCTGCCTTACAAGAGAGAGGAAGATACGGGCCAGCCATGCAGAGTTTATCTTTTTAGTCTTCCATCTCAGAAAGTAAAAAAGGGAGGCAGCGCCTAAAGCTCAGTATTACTCAGTTGGTAGTTGTGTATTTGGGGTTTGGACACAATTATTATGTTCATTACTTATTAGTGTTCTTTGGCTTAACATCATTTGAAGTGTGATAATTAACTTGGGTAAAAGAATGAGTCACAAGTATTTCATCTTACCCTTATTAAACCAGATTGGTTGCTAGGATAGAAATGAGGTTAATTGGTTCCATTAAAATGATTTTATACATTTAGTGGCCTTTTATATTAATAGTAAGTTTCCAGGTGGTAAAAAAAAATTCCTCTAAAAAGTTAAGCAGTAGTATCATTTTGTTACTGTTGTTCAGTGCTGTTCAGTTGATCACAACTCATAATGACGTTAAGGATAGCCAGTCTGAACCCTGCCCTTTCCTACGTCATCCTTACCATGCCTGCTATACTTGAGCTCAGTTGCTAGTCACCTCTAGTGCCAGTTATTTGCAGGAGGAGGTTCTAGCCCTTTTTTTCAAACCCTCTGCTATAGATGTAATTTTTTTATTTTCACAGTCACACACCTTCCCATTTTTTACTCAACCTTCCTAAGTGGTATCCTTTGCAATAATGTTTTCTTTATTTTTTTAGGCTTACATATTGGTTATTTTAAATAGTAGTATAGAATAGTTGTTACTCTATCACCACCATTGTTCAACAGTTAAAAACTTAAATTTGTTCTGGTCACTCTGAAGTCTGTAAAATATTTTAGAATTTTGAAGAGATAGGTTTCTATATTTGTGTATACCAGATCTTAGTTTTCTTTAAGCTCTCAGCAAGTACTGATAGAGTTACTAGTCTTAGCATCCATCACTAAAATATATCTTAATTCTTTAATGAGTTTGAAAGTAAAATTTAATAATATTGATGCAGGATATCAGCTTCTAAGAATTTATGATACTTCTGGATTAAATCAGTATGGTAACTTGCTTAATGGAAACATGTAACAGTATTCTGGATTGTTAACTCTTGTGAGTGCTGGAATTTCCTCGGTGGTGTCCCCCTCTGCCTTAGAGCAGCACAGCATGGCTTTCGTCATCTCTGTCTTCCTCCTAGGTCTCTACATCCATACCTGCAGTCACAAAGTGTACAGTACTAAAAAGGTGAAAATTGGTCCTTTAAGAAAAAATATTTGCAGTGGCTGGTTGGTTAGATAGTGATTTTTTCTCATCTCCACTTTAGTGCCTGTTGTTTTATATTTTGAATCATAATAATTATCTGAGTCCAGGTAGCTGAAAGTTGTGTATTTGTTTCTTTCTACCTGCCTATCCATTAGTTTTACTTTAATGACCATTATTTCACTTGAATTTTAAAGAAATAATTTGCTTTGTTTTTAGAAACAAGGTAGTAGACACAGCAGTAAAAGCGCTGTGCTTGGAAAGGAGTTATTCCTATATTAGCTGCTTTCCTTTATTGAGTCTATATTTAAAGTTGATTTACCATTTAAAAACTTGTTTATGAGAATGTACAGATCTTTATATTGAGTATCACCCTCTTTTAAAAATATTTTGAACTATTTCTTCAATGAAAATTGAATGTTTTACGGAGCTCTGGTGGCCTAGTGGCAAGAAGCTGTGCTGCAATCCTGAATCCACCAGATGCTCTGCTGGAGAAGGAGGGGCAATCTCCTCCTGTACCAGTCAGATCTGATTGAATGGTATACAACAAGAAAAAAATAAGTTAGGGGGGGGGAAGTTTCCTGTAATGTTCTTAGAGAAAACGAGAAGTAAAGGGACATTTGTTGTTGTTTTATTAGATCATAAAGGTCTGTATATGTAGACCCTGTATTTCTTATCACAATCCCATTTATAAAATATTTAAAAAAAATCTAATTAAAAAAAAAAAGAAAATTGAATGTTTTGAAGGGTATTAATTTTTCCTACTTGTATTATTCAGTCTTAGCTCCTTTTAGAAAAACCAAGCACCTTTTTAGCTACTATTGTTTTCTGAAGATCAAGTGCTATTTTTGACTATAAAAATATATCATATTAGGGGGCTCTGATGGCCTAGTGGCAAGAAGCTGCACTGCAATCCCAGAGGTACATGGTTCAAATCCACTAGAT